TTACTGGTCGAGATTTCAGGCAGATGGGTGGGGTGGTTCTGGGGAAGGATCCCTCTGGAGGCTGAAGCAGTGAAGTTGGTGGGGTCTTGGCTGGGTTAGAGATCTATGTCCAAAGAGACCAAGTGGGCTCCCCACAGGGCTGCACGGGCTCCTCACAACATGGCAGCTTCTTCTCCAGAGAAACAGTGATCCAAGGGCAAGGCAGAAGCAACCCGCTCCATCTCGAGGTGCCCTGCTGATTACTGGGGTCAACCCTCTGCAGCACAGAAAGCGCTGTGTAAGTGCAGGACTGCAGGGACAGGGACCGGCAGGGTCGAAACAGCTCAGAGTCCCATCAAGTGCTCAGACTGGTGTCATCGCAGCCCTTACCTTGCTCCCGGTGATCCCAAAGCCAGGACGATCAGAATCCCACTCATCAGGCCAGCTGTGGTGTGATGAATGCCTGCAATACTAGCAGGAGGCGGAAGCAGGGGGTAGAAATACAAGCTCAGCCTGTGCACCTCAGTGAGACCCTGGTGATGTAACTCAGCATGAGGCCCTGGGCTGACTCCCCACTGCTTGAAACAAACAAAAACACTGTAGGTGCCAGCCCCAGCAAGGCAGCTGTGGCCTCACTGAAGAGCCCATGCTAGGTGCCCCGACCCACCCAGGAGGCCCCTCAGCCCTCAGCCTGTGGGCCAGAGCACCAAGGGGGCAGAGGACTGGAAAGCGCACATCCCTGCCCCTCCCTATTTCCTGGTTGCACAGCAGCTGCCCTCCAGCGAGTGCGGTGAGCTGCGCTGGTGTCTCTACCTGGTACCGGTTTCCATGGCTCTGCCAGGCCCCGGAGTCTGATGTGGAGCCTGCAGCCTGGATGTCTTCCTGACATATCTGCCGTGGAAACACAGCTCTTCAATAATGTATGCGGCTATTAGCACCAGGCCGAAGGCGACCAGCTCCCTCCTGGTGATCAAAGCCACCACTGGGGAGCCAAGTGGGCGATCAGGTTTCATGGGTTCCTTCTAACCGCCGCCCCTCCGTGTGAGATTAGAATAGGCTGTTTCATGTCCAGGGATGAAAGCAGCAAGGATTTGGGAGAAAATCCGGTTTCTCAGAGAAATCAAAACGTTTCGATTTCATTACAAATGGATGCACGACACAGCTAATCACTCCTGGGGGAGGCAGCCCTGCAGGACCAGCTGCTCCCTCCTTTCGGGAGCTGTGGGAAAGGCGGGTCAGGGAAGCACTCAGCTTCCCTATATCCAGGGTGTCTCTCAGATGGCAGGACCCACCAGAATCCTTGGGGGATCCCCCTCTGTCCTGCAGCATCAGCACAGGCGGGCATAGCCCCCCTGGAGATGGTGGGTGTTAGAGCCTGCACCACGGAGGGGGAGGTGGCTGCAGCTCCGGGTGCCATATATTAATAGCCCCTTGTTACTGCATCGTATGTCCAGCTCTTGCCTACAGGACTGCTAATCCTGCAGCAACTGGCAATGTATTATTAGATCTGGTGATGAAGAAACCGAGGACCAGCAGCTTAAGCGAGCTTCTCAGAGACGCCCCGTTGACATGTGTTGGAGCCCCAAGTGAAACCCCAGAGCTGTGCTCAGGCCTCAGGACCAGCTGCCCCAGCCTGTCCCTCCAGAAGGAAAGTCAAAGTCTGTAACCAAAGGGAGAGGCCCGGGGCGAGAAGGCCCGCCCTGGTGCTCGGCAATGTGGGGTGTTCACCAACGCCCCATACAAACTCCCTGGTCTGTTTCCTGGGCTTCCAGCCAGCCCCAGCCTTTCCCAGCGGAGTCCTGGCATCTCCCCAAGGAGCTCTTCTCAGCCCAGGGACTGAACAGGCTGAGACACTGATGTGCCCTGGCTGGGATCCCCAGGGGATCATTGTCCTCTGGCCTTGCTCCCGACACTGGAGGGGAGACTGCCACCTTAGTGTGAGAGCACAGGAGACGCCCAGCTTGTGTGGCGGAGTAGGATTCTCCTGGCTTTCAGCCCTGTGTTTCTCTTCTCTCTGCAGAGGCTTTTACCCTGTTCTGTCTGAGCCCCACTCTGCAAAGCTCGGTCAAGTCTCCTACTCCTAGAAGTTGTCCTCCATGCTGGTGTTCCCAGCATGTACCTCAGGGGAACTGAGATGCTCTGGGGGAGTTCACCCAGGGGTGTGCAGGGGTCCGGCTGACGCCAGTCTTCGCTGCCATCCAGAGGCAGGCCTGCCAAGCTCAGAGGGTGCCTGATGCCTCCCCGACTCCCGTCAAGCCAGAGACCTTCTGCTCCAGATCTGCCCACCTGGTCATCAGGAGGTCCGGACTCTGGCCTTACTCAGGCACTGCCTGAAGCCCTGCAAAGTCTGGACACTTTCACATGTGTTGTTCTGTAGCAGCCTCCCAGCCCTTGTTATGGTCCGAGAAATTAGGTCCTCTCCACCTCGGGCAGGGCCCACCTCTCTCTTCATCTGCACGCCTGTCCCTTCCACCTGGGCAGTGGCTCTGCCTGGTCGTTCCTCCTTCACTTTATACATTTTTTTGGCAAGGCCTGGTAATGAACCCAGGCCCTTTCCAGCGCTAGGCAAAAGCTCTGCCACGGAGCCACACCCTACCCGTCCCCTTTTCAGTACTAAAGATAAAAAGCACCCTGGATGCAGCAGGCTTATCCATCCTTCAGTGCCAGCCAGAGGCCCCTTCCTCCGAGAAGCCCACCAGACTCTCTTCCCATCACGCAGCCCTTCATTTGCCCGCTTGTCGCTATAGTGATTCCACTGTGGACTTTGCCGCCTTGAGCCCCTCGGGCAGTGTCGAGAGCTGATTCTTGGAGTCCCAGGCCAGCCTGGCTCTGAGCACTCACTGCGTGAACGGGCTGTGCTGGAGGCGGTGCTGTCCAGGCTCAAGCCTTTCGGAACCTCCACAGAGGAAACCAGGGTAGGGCCACCTAAGATGTGTGCTCTAGAGCAGGAGGGCCACAGCGTGGCAGGGAGGGCCATGGGTCACAGTGCCCTGTGCTGGCCACAGTCCCCATGGTGGCCTCTCAGCTTCCTCAGGCCACTAGCAAACTGGTCTTAGTCCAGAGGCTGGCTCCAGTGCATGTACCTCGAGTCCTGCTAGGGCCCCATTTCCCTGAGCAAGCTGCCCTGCAGTGCTCTGGGATTTCTAGGAAGGTGGGCAGGGAGGTTATTACTTTCTAGGTCAATCTGTTTTACTAGAAACACACTGGTCATTTTTGCATGACCGCTGATAACACTTCCAGCCTCTAGTGCCAGAGTGTCCCAGGCTCACGGTCCTCCCTGGCCTGTGGGAGAGGGGCTAGAGCAGAAGCCGTTCCACAGGAGCACAGCGGGTGATGTTTCTCACAGAGCTGGCTCCGTGACGAGCAGGAGTGTCCTTGTCCGCCTGGACTGCAGCCAGGATGTCCCAGCCATTGCTTCTTTCTCAAGGTCCAGGGTTCCCAAGCAAGCATGGCTGCCACACTGTTCCACGCTCAGCCCTGAGATCACACCTGCTGCCTTGGTGGGGAGCGGAGGACGTGGAGACTACCAAGAGTTTTGGGCTCATGGTGCCAGTAGGACAGCACTGACCTGACCCGGTTAATGGGTCTGCAGGTGTGGTGCTGTCTAAGTTGAGAAGAGTCCCCAGGGTGGGGCGTGGGTGGGCACCGGGAGAGTCCGGCGAGGGGTGGAGGTGGCAGGGGTCGGGGACAGGTAAGAGCAAGGATGGGCAGGGGCAGAGAAAACTATCCTCCTCCCCGATGTGTGTGGCCTCTCCAAGGACAAAACAGCAACCAAGGGACCCACAATCTAGGGGCCTGGGGAGGGGAGGAGCTCTACGGAGACGTGGCAGTGCTCCAGCCGCTGTGTCCCCAGATCCAGGCATGACTTAGTGTTCATTGCTCCTGACTGAGCCCTGTCCTCTGTCCATAAGAACTTTGACCTCGCAAACACATACCGCAGATGACATCACCAGTGTGCCCTCTGTCCTTCCCCCTGCACTCCTAGGAGCTTAGGGTGTCCCTCAGCAGACTCACCCCACCCTTCTCCCACCCCAGCTCAAAGAGAGGAAGACAGAATCTGGAGTGATCTGCCTAACCCTGGCACACACAGACCGTTCCTCCCTTCGCTGCCCTCAGTCTCTCAATCAGTGAAGTGGGTGACACATTTAGCTTGTAGCTGGCACTGAGATGCAAGAGTCTGGCACCGGGCCTGGCGTGCACTCCCCATCTCCTCCTCCCGGTTCCTGTCCACATCCCTCTAGGGGCTTGCGGGACTAGCCCCTTGTGTGACCATTTGGGGCTGCAAGAGTGTATCTCACACAGCAATCTCCCTGTATGTGGGCCCACAGTGCTGGTACAGGACCTCGGATGGCACCACAGTAGAAACGGAAACCCTGGTGTCCAGGAAGGGGAGGAGCCTGGAATGAGGAGAGCCAGAGGTCCTGATTGTTCTTCTGCCCAATCCCTGGCCCAGTGGGAGTGGCCACCTTTACCTCCTTTATCACCCTCCGCCTCCTGAAACACAGGCTGATCAGGCCAGGCTGGCTACTGAAGTGAACTGGGCTCTGTGTCTGGGGTGGCCACAGCCGCACCTAGGAAAGCCGTAAACTGTCTTCTCTCTTGTTCTCGTTGTTTACAGGGACCTGCTCTGTGTCCAGAGTGAACGTTGCGGGGTTCTGCTGCTATGCCTGGGCATGGCTCCTTCCTGATCCCTGAGGAAGGCTCTGGCTCCGTGCCTCGTGGAGGAGGACAGGACACTGCCGTTACCTGCCAGGCTGTGTGCTGGGAGCATTGTCTGACAGTCCCACTCACCCCTCAGCCTTCGTCCCTCCTTAACAAGGTCCTCCCTGTCCCCGACCCTGTGGTGGCTCTGCTGAGCCCACACAGAGATGAGTATGGAGGCAGAGGGCCTGCTCCAGTGAGGCTGGTCACTATCATCACATGAGCTCCACGGGTAAAGTTGGCTCTGGACCTTGAACAACTGAATGCGAGCCTCTTAGTTACTTTTCTCATTGCTGAGACAAAATACCCAACACCCTAAGTTAAGGGGGACAGGTTTATTTTGGCTCACAGTTTGTGGGGTTTTCAGTCCATAATCAGCTGACACAAGGCAGGTGTCGTGGCACACAAGCATGGCAAAGGAGAAATAGTTCATGCGGGCAGAAGGTGGCAAAGCAAGCCAGGAACATTAGTGGCTTCTTTCTGCCCCTTTGATATTTTCTCTAGGCTGCTTGATTAGGTCAGTGCCAAACCAGTAAGTGGACTGATATAGTAATCAAACACCCTTCATCCCTGTATTACACATTCTAGATCAAATCACTCCTAGAAAAGCTCCACCCAAGGTTTAGGGGGACATCTAGACACAAGCCATAACATTCTGCCCCTGGTCCCCAAACACTCAGATACATTCCTTTAGGCAAAAGGCATTTCTTTCTATCTCCAAGAGTTGCCAAATTCCTAACAATTTCAGCATTGCTAAAAAGTCCAAATCCAAATTCTCTGAGATTAGCAGCAAACTCTTAGCTGCAAGCTCCTGTACAAAAGAGAAGAAAGTGAAACATATAATGACATCACATAAACATTACCATTCCAACAGTTACAAATAGGGGAACACAAAGGAATGGGACTGAACTAAGCCTAAAATCCAGCGGGGCAAACGTTAAATTCCAGAGATCCATGTCCAGCGTCCAAGGCAACCTGAGGCAAGACATGAACTTGAAGGGCTTGGGAGGCTCTTCTCCTACGATACTTCAGGTGTTGTAGCTTCCAGTCTTCTCTTTTGGGCTGGCTCTGCTCTCTCCTTGCAGTTTTGCTCAGTAAGCCTTGTTCCTGGCTTCTCCAAACTTCTGGGGACTCCCCTACATCTTCAGCTTATAACTTTACACACTGCCATCTCGGAGCCACACTGCCTGGCCTTCCAGGTCTTCTTCTGGAATCTAGGTAGAATCCTTCCCGACCCCATCACTTTTGCACTCTGCATGCCACTAAAACCAGCACAACAGGGGTGATGCCAAGGTCTGCCACCAGCTGAAGCATTAGCCAGGCTTCCTTCTCTCCAGGAAACAGGGATCAAATGCCTATGAACCAGATCCCAAGGAACAGCTTCTCTATGCTGCCACTATTCTAGAACGTAGTGCTCTGGGGCACTTTTCTTATCAAAGTCTTTTGTAATTTTGAGGCTGCAAAGGTTGAAATCCTGCATTTTTCTTGTGATGTCCCCAGGCCATCTTTTTTATTGTCTTTTTTATTGTCCTCTTCCTTCTCAGCAATCTATAGATCTACTCTGCTTTATCATGCAGTCCACAGTTTTATGGGGGCTTCCTTTCTGGCCAGACTCACGTTTTAATTCATTCTGCTGAGCTGTTTGCCCTTAATTCTGAAGTAGATCTAGCTAAAAGCCCCCAGTAGTAGCCATGCCACTGTCTCAACATTGGAATGCCTTAAAATTTCTTCTTCCAGATTATTAGCTGCCCTTAATAGTAGTCTCAGGCAAAGTCTCTGGACACAAGCAGAATGCAGAGAAGCTTTCTGTCAAGGTGTAGCACACATTCTCTAGAGTTCACAGGCAGTGCAGTCCTTCCCAGCAGAAAACTTGTGAACCTGGTCTTTACTGGCTGGATTTCTATCAGCCTTCAGGTCTTCTGAGCTCAGACTAGAATCTCTCATCAAGTACGGATTCAGACACTTCAGCTCTACTTTTTCAGTTGGCGTCTCCAAACATTTCCTAACTCTTTTTTTTTTTTTTTTTTTTTTTTGTCCTTTTTTGTTTTTATCGGTACCAGGGATCGAACTCATGACTGCCTGCTTGTAAGGCAGGCGCTTATGCCACTGAGCTAAATCCCCAGCCCCACATTTCCTAACTCTTTCTCCTCCCGCAAGTTAGTTCCTAAGACTCCTACATGACACGGTCAGATATAGTCACAGCAAAACTCCACCTCTGGTACCAAATTCTGTCTGGGTTACAGTGGACCCTTGAGTTATGGCTGGTCTTACATAGATGACTTGGTTATAATGGGACTTTTAGGTTTAGTGAATGACAAAAAGTCTTGAGTTGAGGCCCAAATAGCTGGTTGTGTGGTTATAAACAAAGACAAGATGCCATAAAAGTGTATGTAAGTGATTGTAAAGATTAGTCTGAGTTGAGATGCATGTGTTTCCGGACATGGTTTTGGTCAGTGCTTTATACACTCACTAAAATTACTACTATCACAATGACTCCCTAAAAGCTAGAAAAATAGCCAAGAAAGAAAAGGAAGGTAACGAAAGCAACTGCAATGAAAAGGAAGAAAATTGTGGAGAAATATGAGAAAGGCATCCATATGACCAGTCTCGCTAATATGTATGACAACTTGACAGTCTTACAGAGAAAACATTTATATGAGGAAGCTAGTGTTGCTAACGGTGTTGCTCACAATGATAAGTCAGAATCAGCAGTGTCAGATGAGGTAGAAAAGCCATCGTTAGCATGGGTAAGTGAAAGGCAGATGGCAGGTTATAGCCTGCCCCAGTCTATAACGTGTGAGAAACCTGGGGCTCTGAATGCAGATCTGGTAAAGCTAATCCATCAATGAGTGATGATGGTGAAACATTATGCCAGTAAGAGGCGGCTTCCCAATTTTAAGGTGAGAACTGGGTTTCCTAGTGTATAAAGGCAAGATCAAGCAGCCAGTGCTGATAAAGGGCTGCTGACAATTTCATGCACACTGTGAAATGATGACACCAGAGAAGTGTCTTTTGCTATCAAGTTCTCAACTGTGATGCAACTGGCCTTTCCTGGGAAAAAATGACCAGGAGAACATAATGTCTCTTGTTAGGAACATATATTAGGTACTCAGGAAGAGAAGAAAGTGTCAGGACACAAGTCTATGAAGTATAGGCTGACTATTACTAGGTACCAATTCCAGTGGTGACCTCAAGATAAAGTCTCCCTTGATTATCTCTCTGAGACCCCCGGAGTGTTCAGAAAACAAAACAAAATGTCATGAAGAATGAGCTAATTGTCTAATGCAAAAGCCCGGGTAACAAGAATACTTCATCTTGAGGAGATCAGGGAGGCTTTCAGTCCTATTAAGAAATACCGGAAGAACAAAGTTTACCACTGAAGGCTCTCCTCATCAGGGACAGTGCTCCCGCTCACCCTTGGGCTTCGGAGGAAGAACTGGCTGGAGAATTCCCACGGCTCTCCGTCGAGTTCCTCCCGCCTAGGAGAATCCTCCACTGCAGCCTATGGACCACGGGTGCAGCTCACTGTAAGAAGCTATACACCAAGGAACTGCTCCTGAAGCGCTTCTAGATGGTCTCGGATTTAAGCCTTAGAGAACTCTGGAGGGAGCATTACCACACCTTTCCCCGTGTGGGGTTACAGAAGTTGAGAAATCCCGGGCCAGTGTCTAAGGACACTGAGACATTCCTGGAAGAAAGTGTGGCCTGAAATTATAGAAGAGAGAGACTGTGAAGATTGTGCAGGGGGTCCTAAGCCTTCGGCTGACCCTGCGGTGATGACACTGTCCCTACAGCAGAGTCCCTGGGCTTGCGGGTGGACCGTGGTGATGCTGAGGAGCTGGAGGAGGAGCACGCAGAGGAATCGTCTACAGAGGAGCTGCAGCAGCTTCTGGCTGAGCAGCAGACATGGCAGCCGAGGAGCTCTCTGAAGAGGAGGGGGAGTGTCAACTATCAGTGCAGCGAAGTTCTTCTGAAATAAGGGAAATCCTGAGACAGTGGACAGAGTGCGGACACTTGTAGAGGAAACGCACTCAGAGAGAAAAAGCTGATCTTTGTGTTCATCTGCTTAATGACAATGTCACGTTATACTGCAGAACGGTGTTAAACAAGAGACAAAAACAGAGAAATTTAGACCAGTTTTCAATTCTGAAAAGGTTGAGACCCAGTGAGCCAGAACAGGTCCTGGTGGGTTCAGACTCTCCCGAGGACAGAAAGGGCAGCAGAGAGCCCGATTCCTGATGTTCTTATAGAGGGGGGACTCTCCTTTTAAGCCATAACCACCTTCCATCCTTCCTTCCCTCCTGCAAGCCAAAGATGTCAACCTAAATGGTGAGAACAGTATGAAATTGATGATTCTTTTTTTTTTTTTTTTTTTGGTCTTTTCCTTTTTATCAGTACCAGGGATCGAACTCACGACTGCCTGCTTGCAAGGCAGGTGCTTATGCCGCTGAGCTAAATCCCCAGCCCTAAAATTGATGATTCTTGTAAACGAGGCACAGGTTATAACTTTTTGCTGAATACACTAGGAAGACTATTGGTATTTCTGGCAAATTACATTATATAATGTTTTTTATTGTAAAAAGGTTAGTTGAGGGGTTCTTTGGGAAATTTGGCACATATTATGATTGCTTTCATTATTTCTTGTGGGAAAAATAGCCTTGATGTACAACCAAGCTGAGTTACAGCCAGCCCTTCCAAACAAATTGAGCTCATAAATCAAGTGTGCACTGTACTTTTCTTGTTACTGAGACAAACTACCCAACACCCAAAGTTAAAGGAGGAAAGAGTTATGTGGGCCCATGGCTTGCTGAGGAGTCAGTCCCTAGGCGGCTGGTTCCAAAGCAGGGAGGCCTGGCAGAGAGGGCACAACGGGAGAAATAGGTAAAAGGTAACAAAGCAAACTCAGGACCTCAGCGACGTCTTTCTGCCCCTTCTATATTCTAGCTAGGCTATGGGGATTAGGCCGTGCCAAACCAGTCAGTGAACTGATTGACTAATAACACACCCTGGATCCCAGCATTTCATACTCCAGATCCAACTACCTCTGAAAAAGCCCCACCTGTGACTGCTGGAGCTGGGACACAGGCCATGACAGCACGGATCGTGGAGATAACAAAGCAGGGTGTGGACAAACCAGGCACATGGACAAAGGCCCGTGTAAGGCTGGCATGGCAGGGCTGGGGTGGCAGGGCAGCTGGGAGGGCCACGCTGTGGGGTGGACCTCCGGGAGGTTGGAGGCAACCATAAAGCCCTGCTACCCGGTGACATGAAATGGATTTCCTGACACCTAGAGTCCCCTCTCATTAGGGAACTTCAGGCAGCGCCCTGCAGTGGGGCTCCAGATGGCCAGGGCAGCTCTTTCGGAGAACAAAGACTCTGCTGAGCTAAAGGCGCCCCAGTGCCCCTCACCCATAGGGATGCACTGCTGGTGCTCAGGACAGCTCCCCAACACGACCCCATGCTGGAGACTCCTCGGCTGCCTCTGTCTTCCCAGCTGGGGCCCCATAATTCCTGCCAACTGAGAGGCAACCCCAGGCCACCAACCTTCCCTGGCCAGAGCTGCAGGGTCGGTGCCAAGGCTGTCCCCAGCTCTCCTTGGCAGTCGGGCACCTCTTTGTCTTAGATTTACACAAAGGATACGAAGAACACGGAGTTCTCGAAGCTCCTTCACCCCCTTCTAGCTAATGTGAGCATCTTACATAACCATGTAAGATGCTTGTCAAAGTGAAGAAATGAATCTGGGGAGAGCTGAGCTTACCTGAAGACAGTATGAAGATTTCACCAGCTTCTCCTCAGCGGACGTTAAATGGTCCTGTTTCTACTGCAGACTGCAATCCCAGTTACCACGCGGCACTTGGTTGTCCGTGCTTTATCTCCCTTTGTCTAGAATCTTGTTTTCTGTGACCTTCATTTGCCTTTATATACATATCACAATATACATAACTATTTTTAAGTGTACAATTTGATGGCATTAACTATATTCAAAATATACAATTATCACCGCTATTTCCAAATTGTTTTTACCACCCTAATAAGAAATTTTGTCTCTATTAAGAAATGACTCTACCCTCCCCTTCTCCCAGATGCCTCCTAAGAGGCTCAGAGAGCCCCAAGCCGGCTCATGCCCAGGACAGAGCTCTTGTTCCTGGCCAGTACCAGTCGTCTTCCTCCCCACCGCTGGACAGCGAGTCTATGGGAGCCCCTCCCATGTGGCCCTCCGTGCTTCCCAAAACTTGACCTTGCTAAGGCAGAGAAGCAGGAAGCCCTACCCTGCATGTTTTTTCCAGCAACTGTCCTGCTTCCACATTTTAATGACCAAGACATCTCCTTTGACCTGGACCCACAGCCCTGACGAGGCCAAGGTGGACTAGGATTTCTCTTCCTCCCGAGTCTGATGCTGGGCTCCCTGGCAGTTTCTCCAGGCACGGCATCCAGGCAGGGGTCACCCCAGGCCTCCATCCTTGCAGCTATGTAGTGGAGCACATGGATGTCCTGACCTTGGGGTGCCCTTTGCAGCAGGCAGCCTGACAGCCAGGTCACGCTGAGCGCTGGGCTGCCTAACACTAGGTGTATGTGCCACCCTCACCCCTCCCACGTCCCAGCGTGGGGGGGATGTCCCTGTGCCTGGCTTCCTGCCCCCAGGGCAGCAGCCTTCTGACCACCATCTGCAGCCTTCCTGCAGACTCAGGCACACAGGATCTGGCGCTCCTGCCAGACTCCTGTCATCAGGTCTGGGCCACCTGTCCAGACGCCTGTGCCCTCTGACCAGACAAGTGTGCTGCCTGCCACCCTGGCTGCCAGGCCCTCGAGCCCTGGCTGCACCTCCTGGCTGACTTCCTCCCACAGCCTGGTCCTCCCCACCTGCTTGCTTATGGGTCTGTGTCAGGAACCTTCGAGTCGAGTCAGCCCATGAGCACTTCCTGCCTGTCCCCATGGCGTCTTATAGGACACTTCCACGCTGGTCGGGGTGAGCTGGGCCTGGGCAGAGGGCATGCATGTTACCTGCTTAGGGAAGGGACAGCCTCCCAGCTGGGCTCTCCAACACAATGGCCTGGGGAGTGACAGCTCTGTGGCCAGTCCTGCAGGCTGGTTGGCTGCAGAGGGGCCAGGCCCGGGCTTGGTCATGCCCACACGGCTCACTGCAGCCTGCTTTGGCCAGACCCTGGCACAAACAGGAGAGCATAAGGCAGGAACCGCCTGCTGCCACAGACAGGGAAGTCAAGGGTCGCACAGCAGAACAGCTTTAGGACCACAATACCCTCCCACAGCCTCCTAAATCCACATCCTTGGACAAGCACCTGCAGTGCAAATAACCAGCTTCGAAACCAAACAGACCTGCCTTGAAAAGCCAGGTCTGCCACTGGCTGGACAAAGGACTTGGACACTTTCTCTTCCTCCCCTCACACTTGCATGCCACGTGGTGGTTCTCAGCACCTCACCAGTCTGTTTCTGTCTGAAATCAGGTGCTTTTCAGAAGCGTGACAAACGTACCCCAATTCACCTGAACTTCCCTGGTTTCACACACAGTGTCCCGCGAGTCCCCTCCCCAGGAAGGCAGGACAGTGGTCCCCCATTTCCCAGCCTCCTCTCTTACAGGTATCCGTACCAATAGCCTGGCTCCCCACCTCCCCCAGCTCCTGCAGGCCTCTCCCTGTGCTCACTGTCAAAAGCCAGCGCCTTGCTCCTCCTTGGTGAGGACATCCTGGTCCCACCGGGGGTCGGGTCTCCCTCTGCCACCCTCGGGACTCCATGTGGCTCCCTCGGGACTCCACGCAGTTCCAGCACAGCAAGTAGCATTGGTGAGGCCCATCAAGGCCACTTCACACCATGTGCACACAGGCGCTCAGTACCCACCTGAGGGCCCTAGCTGCTCGCTGGCCTGTCCCCTCACCCTCCTGCCATGGCGCCTGGGCTCAGGGGGCCAACCTCTTCCGGAGGTGGCTCAGATGGTGGCACAGACAGCTCAGGCCTCAGCCTTGGAAGGGACTCAAGCTCTCTGTTCTGACACTGCCCAAAGGCAACAGCCCCAGACCAAGGCCTGCAGCTTCAGCAACCCACAGACCACCCTGACTGACCCTGCCCATAGGCAGCACGCAGAAGCTCTTGGTGCTTCTGCCAGCAACTGGTAAAGAGTGATACCGAAGCCTGGAGCACATGGCAGGAACCTAAAGTTTGTGCTCCAATCACAGAGTAGCTGGCCAGAGGCCAGGGCTGGGCTGGCAGCAGTGTCCTAAGTCAACAGTGGCCCTGTGGCGAGGGTGGAGAGGAAGGACAGGGAGAAGAAACACAAAGGGACCTTCTGTCCCAGGCTAGAAGTGGCAGCCGCCGTCTTCTGTCCCATCAGGACCTGGAGTGGGGGGTGAGGCCCAGCAGGCTGGGCTGCAGGGCGCTGAGCCAGGTAGCAGTGAGGCACCCCACCCTGGGGCAGGCGAATTGTGCTAAGTGGGGCGAGGCTGATGCAGTGACCCTTGCAGATGCCCAGAGACCCCTGCTTCCTCTGAGGAGACAGCTTGCGGCGCGCGCCTCTGTGTCTGGCCGGCAAACAATGGAGGCTTCTGGCGGTGGGAGAGAACGGACATGGTGATGGGCAGTTCACCCCTCTGCAGAGCTGCGCTGGAGGGGCCAGGGCCAGGTGAGGCTCAGATCCCTGTGAGCAAATGGCCTGTCAGTCAGCGTCCCGGGGTGCCGGGCGCCCCGCTCTGCCGGGAAGGTGGGTGGGATGGGAACAGCCACTGCCGAGCTCTGATTCCAAGCTGTCGCTGCGCGAGCACTTCACTTACCAGCTTCACTCAGCACGCACGAGGCACTGGGGCACAAGGGGTGACAGACAGCGTGGCCCTTCTGTCCTGCTTGGTCCCAGGGGCCCACGTCACCATTCCTGCCTTACAAATGAAGAGACCGAAGCTCAGATGGGGAGGGGAAAGGCAGGGCGCTCTCCACCAGGCCGGACAGTCCTGCCCTCCAGGGCCTGTCACCCACCTCGCAGCCCCACAGCACCAGGGACCCTTCTCTGAATTCCCAAGGCTGATGGGGCCTGAGTGCTGCGACCTGCAGTTTCTGGGGAGATGTGAGCTATAGGAGGCCTGGGACCCTGCAGCCCACACATCCCTGTCTGCTGTCTCCCCTGTCCTCCAACCCAGCAGTGCATGGCACCTGGAGAAATGCTTTTCCCTAGGGCATTGTTGAAAGGAGACCCTTGCCAGGCATGGTGGTGCATGCCTGTTGTCCCAGCACTCAGGAGGCTGAGGCAGGAGAATTGTTGCAAGTTCAAGACTAGCCTGGACTACAAAGTGAGCCCAAGGTCAGCCTGAACTGCATAGGAAGACCCTGTCTCAAAAAGACAAAAAAATAAAAAATAAAAAAAAGGAGACCCACTTTGCAGATGAGAAAACTGAAACCAAGGTGAAGATGCTGGTGCCAGAGCCTGGTGTGCCCTGCGTGCCCCCAGGTGACCTGCCACTTCTTCTAGCCCCTCCAAGCCTACCAAGGTCTCGTTGCTCCAGGTTCTGTGCCCACCCTGGGTTTGCCATGTCTCCTCCCCACAGTCATTCCCTTGTTCCAGAGAGATAAGGGACATGGAGGCCTCCCCCAACTCGAAAATGATCAGGGGTCAGGCGTGGCCAGTCCTAGGGATCTTGGATCCCCAGAGGGTTCAGGAGGTACTCCCCGACCTGGGCACTGCCCTGGGGGTGACTGCCCCACCTCAGCAGCTCCAGACAAAGGCCCCATTGCCTGCCTCCTGGTCCGCACCCCTTTTAGCCATGAAAGGAAAACACCCTGCCGTTGGCATCTGTCCTGAGCACGGTTCTATTTTCTGCTCTTTTCCTGCTCAGAATCAGCAGCAACATAAAATGTGAACAGAAGGATGGGAGTTATTTCCAGGCAGCCCCTTCCCCGGGAGACCCAGAATAACTCATTGGTCTGATGCAGTGGCAGGATCATCCTGGAGCCTCGGGGAGGGACCTCTGGAGTCTGTTCAGCGCCTGCCCCTGTGCTCCCTGCCCTCCCGGCCGGCAGGTTGGAGCTGGGTGGAGGGCAGGGCTGTCTGGGATTTCCCCAGCACAGCTGGCCCCTGACCGCCTCAGAGGTCTCCCGGACCCCACGCCTGCCCGCCTCTTCCAGCCCATGGGTCCACAGCTAGCTTGGGCTGGGCAGCTGGGAACAGGCAAGAGAGTTCCGGAACAGCATGCATTTGATCAGGTCCTCTCTCTGCTAAAAGCTCTCCATGGAGAGTTCAGACTCCCTGACACCACTGAAGGGCACTTCCTGCTCTGAGCTAGGGCAGCTTTCAGCGGCCACTCTGCACCCTCTGCAACGGCCGTAGGTGCCCTGTGCTTTGGAACACACTGCCTTCACTCCTTACCTCACACGTCCACCATTGCCCAAGAGCTGCCCCGCCCTACTGTTCCAGAGACCTCCGGGAGCTCCCCGGTGCTCCCTGGTGCAAGTTCTCCATCACAAGCCAAGAAGCTCAGCTTCCCACCACGACATTCAGTCTACTCACAACCCCTGGAAGCCTTGTGGCTGTGACAAGAGCAGTGCCTTCCTGAGGCCTCCATGCAGGGGCACCTGAGAGGAAGGACATGTTTGATGCCACTCTAGGTGACGACACCCAGCACAGCAACTAGAACAGAGCAGGTGATCAGTAAGTAAAAGCATGAACACAAGTCCAGCTTGTAGGACACAATTTGAGCGGCTCCCCTTGAATGCAGAACATTGGCTGCAACACTGGTTACACTGAGACCTATTTCCATGTACTGATTTGTACAGAGCTGACTATGATATTCCCTTCTCTCTTCAATTGGCTCTAAGCATTGCAAATAAGGCCAACGAGGTACTGGTATGTAATCTCTAAAGCCTTCAGACAGTCTCCTGTTTCCTTGAATAGTGCTCTCTGTAAAAGATGAGCACAGCAGGATGGTAGAGCCACTCAGCTCCAGGAGTGTCAGCTGAGTATGAGCCTCACGGTAAAGAGGCTATGACTCCCCTGGGCACAAAAGTTTGCATGTCAGAAATTGAAGTAACAGCCACCTAAAACCATTCAAATGCTGCCCTAATTGAATTATGCAGCTGGGTCCCTCTGCGTGTCCTTCTCCCTGCGTTTTGCAGAGATGCTTTTCTCCCCACCTGGCCAGCCAGCTCAAGTTCCTCACACAGTGCCTGCCATCCTCACTGTCACTCATCCCCGAGCCACCCTCTTCTTCATGAGATAATAAATTGTAGGAGAGGCCTTGGATCAGGGCCTCTGTTCACATATCCCCACTTGGGTTGGGCTTAGGACCCCTCTGCTCCCTTAACTTGGAATCTGTCTTGGTGTCTTCACTCTTGATGTGGGTTGCACTGGGGGTGGTAGATTGGAATTAACTTGCCGGGGTTCCAATAATGTCTCAATGGGATTACAAATATGACTTTGGGTTGTGAGGAGGGCAGGAAAAGGGATCACATACCCAATATCTGGCCCTTGCCTTCTCCCCCATCAGTGCTAAATCAGGAGCATGCGAGCTCCATTTCTAAAGAAGCACGAGCTGGGCGTGGTGGCGCATCCTGGAATCCCAGCATTTGGGAAGCTGAGGCAGGAGGACTGCCTTGAGTCTGAGGCCGGCCTGAACTGCACAGTGAGACCCTGTCTCCAAAAACAGGCAGCACGATCAGGTCACTAGAGTGTAAGGCGAGAGAGAAACGGGCCTCCTCACCAAGGACGCAGCATGTGTGGGTGCCAGGAAGACTGCAGCGAGCTGCCGGGGTGAATCAAGTCAAGGACCAGAGTCCTAACAGGATCAGAGCGGACAGGGCACCTCCATCTCTCGCTGCACCCCGGGAGGCCTCGCCAGTCAGCAGGGAAGCTTTGGCTTCTCTGCACAGAGCGTGTCCCTCAGGCCTGGTGTCAGAGTGCTCCAGGTCACGGAGACCGAGGGTCCTCCCTTTCCTTCCCTGCGGTCGGCAGTCACCGGCCAGTCCTGACCACAGCCACTCTCCCAAGTCGCCAGGGCCCCACTCCCAGGCCCTCCTCCGGGAAGCCTTCCAGTGGCTGGCTGGAAAACCGAGTCTCCGCCAGGTGTGGGTGCTCGGGCCTCCAGCGGAGCTCCGGCTGTGGGAGGACACGGCTGCCCCCTTCACCACTCTGCCAGAGAATTACACAGTCAGGCAGTCAGAGTAAGCCAGGGGTCTGTTCTCAGCTGGGAGGTTCAGTAAGGCTACAGTGTAGGAGGAAAGGTGCCCGCCCCCAGGAAAGTAGGGCCTTGGTCTGGGTCTGGCTGCATGGAGCAAAGGAGCCAGCATTTCTGTATATGCACTGTGCAAAGGACGTGGCTTTTAAAAGTGTTCCATAGTCAAGGAGACACCGGGCTAAGCCTGCAGAGCTTCTCAGGCGTCCACTACCCTGTGCAGGGGATCTCTCAGAAGGCCATGGGCATGTAGCATTCCTCAGACTTACTTGACTATGGCATCCTGGTTGGAGCAGCCTCCTGCTCCCTGAAACCCATGTCAGGAGAATACCAACAAATCCAGATGCTTCCAAGGTTTCTCCTTTCACAGCGGAGCATGTGAGATGCGGAGACGCCCCTGAGAACCAGAGCAGAGCCAGGGCAGACCTCCTGCCCGGCTTCAGCGCATCACCACAGCACAAGTCCTGGAGACAACACGTCCTCGGGATGTGGGCCAAGAGCATCGAGGCAGCACAGTGACCTGGGGGAACCTCAGCTCAACCTCCGCGGCCCAGGATGTTCCCCAGGCAAGGCCAAAGCCACTCCTGTTCTAGGCCTTGGTGTCTCAGCGTTCCCGGCCCTGGGTCAGGGGAACCAGCTAACTGACCCTAACCTCTGGAGAGTCAGAATAGAGCAACACCATCAGAGTCTCCCACATATTAGCTCTTTCCTTTCTCTGTAAACTTTGGAAACACCCCACACTCACACACACACGTACACACGCTAGCCCTGCTGGGGAATTTGACACTTAGCTGAGGTTTATCATCCTTCACAGGGACTGCAGGGAATGCTCAGGGAAGTGTTCCCTTTCTGCACACAGACCGGCTTAGTCACCACGAGAGGCTGACCTGGCTGAAGCTGCTGAAACCCTCATACACACGCATGTGCAGACATCAGTGACTCCCAGGTAGCAGGCTAGGAAGGAGAAAGGTATCCTTAGAACAGGAGC